ACTACGAAACGCGTCTCGCGATGCTTGATCTCTTTCCCCTGGAGTACCGTCGCCTCCGAGGGGACCTAATTCTTACTTACGCCCTGTTTGAACAAAGCTTGGCAAACAGGTTTTTTTACCTTCGAACCAGCAAACACCCGGCGGGGACATAGTAAGAAAATTTTCAAGCTCAGGGCACACACATTCATTAGACAGATTTTTTTCATTTCGGGTAGTAGCTGCGTGGAGTGACCTTCCCACAACGGTTGTACACGCTCCTTCTAGAACCTAATTTAAGGCACTTAGACATTTAGTTATGCGAATCCTCGCGCTGGCAAGCATGCTGCCCCGCGCTGAGAATATAAAAAGCAGTGCTACACCCTTTTGTCACCTGTGCCTTTCAGGTGAACGACAGCTACTGGCCGACAAGAACAGAACCGACCCGGGAAACTTGGACAAAAGCCTCGATCCTGTGTATCAATCCGTGAGTCCGTGAAGGTACCCCTAATCTCTGAGTGCTCCGTGATTACATCCAGCACTGAATTTACACCCAACCATCCAGTAGCGTCTAACTTCGTAGCCTTACAAAACCCTGAGTCCTCCATCGCCCCTGCAAATGGACTCTGCTTCACCATCCATAAAAATTGCAAACGTCCCATCAGCCCAGTAGGACACCCTGCTAGTGTTGAAATGACTGGCGCGGAAAATCTCACAACCAGAGCAATGCCTACACCAGTTGCCGGTACCATTGCTTCTCGTCACAGGCCCCCTGACCAGCTGTGCCCGTGCCCCACCTCCACCAAAATACGCCTCCGGGCTTGTAGTATCTGCATTGCGTCGTCACATTTACCATTCCTCATGGACTTAAACCACACTTTGTAACTGTCGTTCACATTGTATCATGACGTTTGTTTAATATTACGAATACACAATCTTCCGGCGCGACCTGCTGACTTATTGCTGAACGAGCGTATTTACGCTCCTTTGAACTGTTTGCTGACTGCTGAACTAAATCTCTGTGTTTGTGTCAACTGTTGAACGTCACAATAAATCCCTGTGACATTCTTTAGCCGTGGATAATTTTCCTACCGTGGGATATATCACTCACGCGGAACCATCTGTGGGAAATTTCGCCAAGTGAATAGTTCCTTTCACAGCCAGTTACTGCGTTTGGATCGGTGTAGTGGACTATTGGATCTACACATTCGTGAGTCCCCATTTGACTATTGATTAATTTCCTGTTGTGATTTTGTGATTTTGCACTGGTTAGTTTTGTTTGTTAATTTATCCGAACGCGCTGATAGGTCCCTAGTCTGCTACATGCTCAAGCACTTATTGTCAAGGCCGCGATACGAAGCGCACCGTAAATTTCATCCCCGAAAACCCTACCATCCGCATGCTGTTTTACCTAAACTTCTTGCACCATCAACTACCAGTGCGTAAGTCGACACTCCCACGCTACATATATGCTCTAGAGACTCGTTGACTGCCCCAAGAACTGGACGCACAGCAGGCTACTCAGAAGCTTCTCACTTCATGACCTTACAGGACCGTGAGCCCCTTTTCGCTTCTACAAATGTTCTCTATGCTTCACCATCCGTGAAAACCACAAATGCCCCCATCAGCACAGTAGAACTCTTTCCTGGCACTGAATTGACTGACAAGGCACGTCCTCCAGCCAGAGCACTGACTATAGAAGGCGTTGACAGCACTCGTTCTTGTCACAGACCCCCTGACTTGCTGGCTCTCCGCGTTACACCTCCGCCAAAATACGCACTGAATTGACAAGGCACGTCCTCCAGCCAGAGCACTGACTATAGAAGGCGTTGACAGCACTCGTTCTTGTCACAGACCCCCTGACTTGCTTGCTGATTGTGTATGGGGATGAAGTCATCAAGTCCCCTTCGGTATGCGAATTCGACCTGGCTAGTTATTTTCAGACAGGTCATCTCTCAGAATTCCACATCGTTTTGAGGCTAGACACATCTGTGTGTTTGAAAAACGAGTCGTTGAGATGAGATCGGAGATGTGAAAGGTGGCGCAGCGGGCTCTAGAAGTCCTCCCCGGATGGCTCACCGATGGGCCCTGCGGAGTCATAGTGATCACTGTGGCCAGGTGGGACACTGGTTTAATATTTTCGTAAACACACTTTTCTTAGGGATGTGTCGACTGATGACGGTTTCTGACGTGATCGACACCTGAGAGTTATCCTTACATTTTTGCGCCCATGTGTTGCACGACTTAGCTAATACTACCCAACATAGTGAGGTTCAATCCATGGGCACTGTGGTCGTTTAATAGAAACAAGTGTGCGCTGTGGTAATTTTACGGATTCAGGCTCTGCGTAGTAGGCAGGTCTTTCTCCATGACTGCGGTAGACCACGCTCAGAACGTGTGTGCTTTGAGCGTGGGAACAGAACCCAGATGAACTCAATTAGGTTGGATGTAGCCATTTGGAAGACAGCAGTTGGATTAGTGGATTTGTATCGAAGCGATTTACTGGCATCCAGACTGCTTTTGCCGAATAAAAGAACAACTACCCACCGTACACATAAATACTACCTGTCGAAGTTCATGAATTAGAGGATTCAAGCACAAACGCCCGGGTTCTCCCATGTCAGTCCCGAGAAAAATCCCGAGTTGCCTCCGGATTACGGGGATTCATGTTATTTGGCCGCGTGACGGTTCGCCACATTTTGTCAGAAGTCATTTTACCACTTAAGATGCGGAGATTAGGACTACGCATACGGCGTATCATCACGAGCGGACCCAATTTCTATGGTATTATAACTGCACTCACTCATGCCACGCTGACAGCGACTGTTTCAGCCAGGAAATGGTAATATGTAAAGAAGTCAATTTGTTGAATGGACATGTACTCCTCGGCGCTGGTCTATATGACGCGCTTGACGCAGGCACCGGCCGCGCTTTCAGTGTGCATATGAATTGGTAATGACACGCAGACGGCTTACCGCTATACATCTCAAGCCTCAGTGAATCATTGACGTCCATTCCACAGGTGACACATCGACATATAACAATTGCACTCAGCGTGATCAACAGCATCGCGAACTGCAGATTCCCGGGCCTAGCTTAAGTACTAGGTTTAGGTCTCTACCGTCAACCGCCGGTAGACACAGAAAAATAAGTTTTGTATTTCATATTTTGAAGATTTTTGCCCACTGCACCCTAACCTGCCACTCACCGCATTTTATCCGGCATTTCTAGAAGGGAAGACTAAGGAGTGACTTATCCTGAACAAGTATTTTATTCAGCATGAAGTTGTTATTTCACGTTCGCGCATTGGTTGCTAAACTCCATCCGCAATAAGCTCACCATTACGGTGGGCAGGACGTTGAACGACGCCATACAGACTGTCCAGTCAGTGTGGGTGATGCCGACTATGTGTGGAAAAGTAGCGCCCCAATAGGCTTGTTTCGTTACCTTGTCACGATGCCCTTGAACCAATCGTCTTGTGCCTCTGTGTAGATTTGCGTATACCTAGTTGTGCTCATTTCGCGTTTGTCTGAGAATAATCGGTCGGATTGATTGGCCACCCACCAATGGAGACCGGTGGCCTTCGAGGGAGTAAGATTCACCATTGTCAGGTTTGAGGATGGCGTCGCCACTCCAACCGCATGCATGCATGTGGTTGGCCATCCGGCTTGTAATGTCCGTAATCCGTTGTCACATTAATTCACCAATTTTCCTGTATCTAAACTACATTGTGTAACTGTTGTACACATTTTATCATGACGTTTGTTTTATTGTGCCAATAATTACATCAAAAGAAAAATGGTACAAATACACAAATTTTCGGCGCGTATTGATTACTTCTTGCTGACACGATGGTCGCAATCTTTAAGCTATGCGTACGACCAATCGTGGAATTCTGTCCCACGTACTCCTCCCTCTACACCCAAAGTTGCAGACTCGCAACTGAAAGCGTCCAACGCTCATTTACGAAAAAAACTTTCTTCAGTCAAATCCCCTGTCTTACCGCTCCCGCTGTCAAATTCTAGGCCTTGAACCACTATGGCTTAGACGGTTAAAATTGAATCTAGCTCTCTTGCACCGTTTGCTGCATAAGAATGCCTTTATAGTAGAGGCTAGACTAAGCAAAAACTCGCAACCTCGCTACAGATTCCGCAACTCCTGCAATCTCTTAGTGTGTCCCCCAGCCCGCACAAACCTACGCCACTACTTCTTTCTACTTTATTACGCTCGCATCTGGAACAGCCTTCCTGAGCAGCTGCAAAGTATCACGTATCACCATGCTTTTTCTCAGTCTGTAGACAAATTCCTTACCTGTGAAACTGCTGCCGCCTTACTTAATACTCAGCTTCCCCCTGACCTCCTATACGAATCAGGTCCAGTACGCATATTTGTTGAGCGACGTTAAAGTTAGTAGGCAAGTAAAGGAGCCTGTTATCATTTCTTCCCATTCTCTTGACCCGATTTAAGCTAATCAAGGACTAAATGCCAACTTGATCTAAATATGCAGCGCTAGTGGCCTGGTAATGGTTACTGAACCGTACCAACTTACACCTCGTACTGGTCTAGTTCCTACACCAGACTACTCTAGAAACTCTGTCTAGCGTCTATGGTTCTCGTCCAAACTCTACTGACAAAATCCAAATCAAAATTAGCTATTTCTTCCCCAAATCACTGCACGACTTAATCACCTACTAATTCTAATTATGTTTTGTCACTGACCTGGTTGTTTTCTCCTACCTCGTCAACTCATGCTTCGTCCTGGTCGAGTCCCTACCCCGGATTACTCTATCAGATCTGTCTAGTAACTGGTGCTTTCAGTCTAGCTCTAACTGATAAAAACCAAACCAACGTCGATTTATTTCTTCACTTCATTATCAGAGCGCATCCTGCGCTTATATATGTCCATTTGATGATTTGTTCCACTAAACACTCCCATGCACAATATCGCGGTACGCTTCTGCTGGACGTGGCAGCCCACATCAACGCTCCGACGCCGTTTAGCCATGTTGCAATCGCCGTGAGTATCAACATTCCAGTCCCACCGACTCGTTGACAATTGTCATTTCACCTCTCCTCCTCGACTTGCCTCTACCAGCATCCGCATGCTGTTGCTTGTTCGGATTGACTGAGCTGTCTTTACTGGCCATGCTTTCAACCGACCAAAAAATGGTAGCTGGAGGATTTATTAATGCACAAACCGCAATTATGACTGCTTGGATGGTTTTCCACCTTGCAGATCTAGTAGCATGCACGAGGGAAAAAACCTCGTGTGTTGGACGTGTCCGCCCTGCAGGGAGGGTCGCCCTGTTACGTTGCACCATGGTGCGTTCGTATACCCGCCACCACTCCAGTAGCACGGGTGCATCGCCCATCGCCGGTGAGTCTGAGTCTGGCCTTTAAATTCAGAAAATCAAAAAAATACTGCTGACTTCTGTTTGTTGCTGCTGGTGCTGCGCTCGCCTCGGTAGAGTTATGCAACTGGACTCTCATCTGTAAAAAACGAAAAGAAAAAAATAAAAGATCACTTGGGATAGCCTGAAAATACTCTGCAATGCCCATGACCTACATCGGTGAGCGTAGTTGTATCTGCTTTCGTCAGGACAGAGGCTACACCGCACCTAAGCCCATTCCGTCATCCAAACAGGGAATACATCTACTCACCGCTCCCAGTGGTAGACACGAAAGTCTTTACCGCTATGCATCACCTGCAGATTAGAGTTGATAGCAGTGCTTCGGGGACTGGTGACTATTTCTCAAGCACACACTTGCTCTCCTCTTATACATCCAAATCATGTAATAAACACTCGATTAACCAGTTAGCTTAGAATTCCATTCCCGCCAGCCCTTACACAGCTGATTCGCATACCACGCTTTTGCGCGCTTATATCGGCTTTTACTAGATCCCTTGTATTATAATACCGTATATCAGCAAAACCAACCCCTGGTCGCTAGCCTACTAAGTACAAATCTATTTATTCTCTGCTCCATGTAATCACTTGTCACCACCCTAGTTGCATCAGACGCCAAGTTTTTCTTTCTATGTATATAAATGCATATTATCCCATTTCACATCCCCTTAAACTCACTATGTTTTGCAAATCTCCTCACATCCCCTCACCTTCCCAAGCTTTAAACTTCGGAAGTGCCCGCTTTGGACGACCTGGTTAGCTGATCTCCACTCCGCCCGACCTAGGATCTACAACTCCGCGATCACCAAACGGACCAAGAAAACCTACAATCCAATATCGGTTTCATTCCCCCATGTTTCCTCGACCAGTCTGAAATGAATACCGCTGCTCAATGAACTGCATACCCAAGACGAATCATCGCAAATGTGACGTCCGTCACGGGGCTGTCCAAAAACTGAAGCATCTCAGGCCAGTGATGACACGGCACTGCCATACTCAGTTTGATAGCACACCCGCAGCTGTTCCATTCCTCCTCTCAACCGTGCCCTCTCGCCCACTCGTTTCATTGACCCCAAAGACCACCATGACATTCATTCCAACCTATTGGACTACTCGTTCAAATTCAACCACCTCTGTGTCCCCATCCAACCTAACCCCTTCACCTGGCATCCCAGCAACAGAGCAACCAGTGAGTCTGCTTGTTCTCAAATTGCACCATAATTTTGAGGCTAAACTTGCCGTGTTCTCGCAATTCGAATTATCCCATCTCCACCTCCACTTTTGCTTGTTATGACTCCAACCATTTACCCAACCGCCCAAGGTCACTCATGGCCAGCAATGGTTTTCCAGTTTTAGTTCGTCGACCAACTGAGTCACTGAATTACTCGGACTTCATGCATATTGTTCCCTACAAGTTTCAAAAGAAACATATTATTATTATTTAATCGAGTACCTCCCATTGTTTGTGACATTGTCCCCTTTTCGCGCAGTCACCACTACCCGCAAATCCCACAGTCATGCCACATTGTGACTGTAAACGCACGATCATGCCGGACGGCATGCCACTCACAATTTGGGAATAAACATTATTATCACTATCTTCTCAAATATAATAAATCGCGAGCGTCGCCATGACACGGTGTCGTGTCAAACTGATAATTTGTCACACCAGACGAGCAGAACGAATGTGGAGGTTGTTCATCCGTCCGGCCCGGTGGAATCTACACTGTAAATAATGTTAACATTTTCACGGATTTTACGAACACCGTTGACCAGTAGGCCCTGCAGTGTTCCGGGTTTATGGAAAACGGGTAAAGTGGCAGCTTGCATACGAATCGGTGGTATTCGGTAGCCTTGAATGTTCTCTCGGTTAAAGGGTCATATGTGAGCAACTCATCGCTGAAGAGTGCAATCGGACTTGACCAAATCCCCATAAAGCTATTCGCTTCTGATGCCCCTTTATTCTGTCGAAAATAAATTTCGGCGCGCTTCTAGTGATTGGGTGTGTCAAAGTGTTCCTACGAACTGCGAAAAAAAACAACAAACTGAAGACAACGGCAGCTAAGTGGTACGTTCCTATAACTACAAAGTGTTTTCCCGAATGTGCATGTGGATATAGCCACAGGGGAATAGGTAGCCCTTCCCTATATGCCTTTGGGCTATTCGTGAAAACCAATCATTCACTTTGAGTTTTCAAGCTATAGAGCAGATGATAGTGATGATGGGAAACCCTGTAAGAAGCGAGCGGGCTAAATGTTCCTGGAAAGGGGAGCAACAGAGTGAAACGTAGGTGCGCGAACTGAGCGCTGGGGGCGACATAATGCGCAGGCATTTCGGGACAACATCTCAGTCTCGCACAGCAGTTAGGCATTATGTCAGGGATTTCTCGGGGATCGAGCTATAAAGCACGAAAGGCCGACAAACTGCAGTACACAGGGAGGCTAAAGTTACAGAAATGTTCACTATGTGTCCGTACCGACCTGACGTCCGATTTTTTGATTTTGTTATTTTTCGCTGCCGACGCAAGTAGGATATTCCAAGGTGAAACGCCCAAAAGTCCACCGAGTCTAGCCTAGGTCCAGAGAAACGTGAATTCAATAATGTGAAATCATTCAACTTGCCAGTTAGGATAACACGGAAGTAGATGTGGAAGGTGAACCTGTGTTTAGATTGAGTGACTTGGGGTGCCATCTTTATGGTAGACGCAGGAAGGAAGGTTGACTTCGTCGAGCGGGTGCAGACTAGTTTTGCGGGACCTTCAGAGATGATCTGACGCACATGATCATCTGAGATGTATGTGTATCGAAGAGATTTACGAATGACGCTAATGAATGTCACGCACTTTCGAGACGCTGCTGAAGAATTTTGCCCGCGTCAAAACTTAAAATGGCACAAAGCGACGCTGATTAGCCTTGATGAAAAAGAAAGGGCTTTTGGGTGATGGATTATCTAATAATGTCCTCGGTGATCAATGTGTCCTCGGTGACCGCGAACTCTTTTGCGTTTCGTCGAACAATCAACTACTGGCATGCACTTAACAAGACATGAACAAACAACAACAGCTCATAGGGAAACGACGAAATGAGTCGCGAATACGAACGCAATAAACATCTGGCGGACAAAATGCTATCCTTGTATGAGTAAACGAAATCTAAGATAAGGAAGATAGGGTCGATGAATGTTTGGTGAAATCCAATATTGTTCAAGAAGATCAAATTAGGCCAAATGGAATGGTGATCGCTTTTTTCAAAATCTCGAGATGTGAGTGATATCTGGTGATAGGCGTGCACCAAGTGTGTGTTACGTAACAAAGATGTGACATCGTACGATGCGGTAAGGTTATTCAAGTGTGGAAACAGCTACCGATCAAGAACGGTAACCCAATTTATTGCTTCACGGTCGTCTGAAGGGAGCCATTTAGTTTGGTTCGTCTCAGAGCCTATAAGCCTTCAGGTAGGCATGTGAGATCACCCTGAAGCAGCTGATCTGATTGGAATTTAGCCACATATAGTTTATTTGTGTATCTGGAACGTGCGTACACTGGAAAAGCTTGAGTGGGAGTTGTGTATAGCACAGGTGTAGTGGCAAAAATCACACCTTTCAGGGTTCGCGTGGAACCAGGAACACTGATGAACAGGTGTGATCAGTCGGTATTATTGGCTGGTGGTACAAAAGTGCAGATGGGTATCTGGAGAGCGAGGCACACACGTTTGGCTTGCTCGCGATTGCCACCAGGTAGTAGCTAGTATTGAGTATTAACCAAGAGCCCGAAGAGCTCAAGGAAGTCGACAGTGATCGATGTACGGCAGTCGGTGGTAAAAAATGTCCATGACTTGAATTCGGAAGTCGTGTCCATGGCTGCGACAAGTTTTCTCCAATAAGCACAGATGCCCGCTCGACTCGCCGCACTTACTGTGGCGAGCAAATTAACGAAGCAAATGTTCCTTCCATCTGATGGTGCTACACTAACCTCTACTTTGCTGAATGTTGTTGCAAGTGGTCGCAAGGCCTATTGCTTGGATCGATGGCGGAAACCAGTTGCTGCCTAGATAATTGTGGGAATCATTGATAATGGTGGCCTTCGTAGTTCCGTTGGGTTATCTGACACGCTATGGAAGTCTCGTCGAACACTTGGAAACGACATCGGCGCAATAAAGCGTGGCAAGTTGTCCAGTCACACATTAAACCTCACATTTGAGGCAAACATTGTCGTATTTGCCCTAAAAAACTTAAAAGTGGTCGCTTACTGCAGACAAACGGACGTTCTCTTCTTTCTGGCTTTTTTCTTTGAGTTGTATATTTTGAACCGACCAGACCTCTTTTTACATCAGTTAAACGATTTACTGGAACCGGCCATATATGGGGCTAAACAGTTGCTTTGCTTTTGAATAAATCACTATACGTCACCGGGACAGCGTTCACATTGATCACAACTTATGCACAAAATAATTTTGGGCTCGCAAGAATGTCTCAAGTTTTGCTTGAATAAGCGGACACTGATGAATTCAGTAAGCTCTTTGCCTAGCTACCCGTCCGACAAATACTGGTACAACAAAAAGGGTCGAAATAGTAGCTGGCAAAAAGCCACCATGTTCAGTTTAGGCCGACAGTCTTAAGCATGTTCTCAATGTGCTGAGTGCAATTTTTTCTTCAGATACCCATTGGAGGTTAATTTAATGCTTCCTTAGTATTATATCTGAATGCTGTTTCCTGTTTAGTGCCGGGTAAGAGCTCATCGACAAGGGTATACAACAGCCTGTTTCCAAATCAGCGAGTGTATGCGAGTGCAAAAGTTACATCGGCTCCGTGCTATTTGAAGGGTAGTTTCTAACGTTGATCCAGACTCTCTGGCGGAGGTTCAGTGAACACTCATCGACAGTGATCACGATTTTATGGGATTCCAGAAAGCTGATCGCATTCGATCGTGCTTCCGTGGCCTGCCTGAACACTAGTCTGCTTCTGCTGATTTGATTGAATGGTTGGCTGTAGTGAGTGCTTGCTAGATTGCTTATTTGGACTCCAGTAGAGTTTTAGGACCCCAGTAGGTTCCGGGCGTTCTGGGGTTGATTTCAGGAAGCTGACCTTCCCGACATTTAGAATGTTCCCAGCCACTTTGAGAAACAGACGTAGATCGGGCACTGAAACCTGAAAGACACTAAGAGGCACTCACGCGGGATAGGGTGGAATTCCTACACATGAACCCCTTGTTATTGACGATAAAACTCAAGAACTCATATAAAAATTCACAGAACCATTCGCAGTTTGGAATTTAATGGTTGCATAATTTTATAACGTATAAGATCTTATTTCAAAATTTCTCACCTACAAGCGGATGCGCCTGGTCTTAAGACCTCCAAACCTGCACGAACCAAAATGCCTTTTCATTGTCGCAAGATTATGGAACATGAGATGCTTGCTGTTGATCTTTAGGCGCACACCACAAGTTTCATTGAAAAAGTGGTTTGAACGAAGGAAAATTTGAGGCGTTTGATGGCATTTACTGAATCAAAGAAAATCTCCCCACGTGGTCGCAGTTTTGTTGGAGTTTGTTCGGACGGAGTCAAGGTCCACTATGGGAGCACAATTTATAGTTTAGTTGTGTAACGCAATCGAGCCTGGACTGTACCTTCTTACACGTTTTTATCATATGATCTAATCTATGTAAACCTCCCTCCCTATCACAGGTACTCCCGAGCAAAACCGTTGACTGTTTCCATATCATGTTGTTTTACCTTTGTACAGGGTTTCGGTCATCGAGTACACGTATTTCTGCGCCGCGGTCGTTCTGCCTTCCTCTCTGTGCATCGTGCTTGTTTTGTCTCTGCGTGCCACTGCTTCTGAGTTAATCCCGTGTATCCGACGCCTTCCAGCGTCCCACGTCGACTTGCCCACCCTACGGTGGCGGCCAATGTATCCCCGTGAAGACAGTGGGATTTTTTTGTAAGGTTGCTTTCCTCCCGTGTTTTTTATATTTCAAGACTACATGAACTCTTAGTCCACGCAAACGCAAAGCGGAGAAGACATTCCCGGCCTTTATGATAAAAAGGTTCCCTGTCTTTGCAGCAGGCACCCTGCCAGACAGTCTCAGGATGGCCTTAAATATCAACATGGTATGTACCCGAGTTGCGACAGCTCTTCTATATATAATCGGATGCTGAAAATCACAGGTGTCGGGGTATGAACGAAAGCACGGGAGCTGATCTCCTCATCAGAAAGGAGTTTCCACGTGGCGAGAATGCTACTGCGGTTGATTATGGGGTGGTTACAAGTTATGATAAGGACAACGTAGATGTCGATTCTGCTGGGCTAGATAATCTCAGTATCGGGAATCAGATATGGAGTGATACTACGATTTAGTACTCCAACTAAGGAGTTTCGACACCAACTACCAACCCATTCTTTTGATCGTCGCTACAATTGCGTCCATGGGTGCACGTTTGAGGACGCAGGAAATACTCTAATCCCAGGGCTCAGGTCTATACCACTTGATCTCGCGACTGATTTGTGTGCATCCATCTTTAGCTTTAACTTCACCGCATCTAGTGATGCATACAATTATAATAATGTTTATTCCCAAATTGTGGGAGGCATATCATCAGGTATGATCACTGAATCTCGCTATCGAATAATCGACCTACACACTGATCCCTAATTACCGCAAGTGGAACTAATCAAGCAAACAGTAAATTTGCCTTTACAACACGAAGACTCCAGCTTCAGCATAGACGCCGATCGGACATTATGGACAACGGGATTTATTAAGCACTTGGTGCGCTGGCTTGTGAATCTTTGTTTATTCACGTGTTTTCAATAACATTGCCAGGAATGTAACTGAACAATTGAATATTGTAATTTTGTATACATTTATCCTTTCATGAACTCTGTCGGGTGAAAGCGGATTCCTGACAACGAGAACTGGACTGATTACACCGTACGAATTGTACGGATATGACGGATCGTCGTTGACCGTTGGATCCAGCCGTTATGTATAGTTGAGGCTTTATAATAAGCGGTGTGCATAGGTTTGATCCCGGCAGTTATTACCTTGCGAGTATTGCGAGTAAAACAAATACCAACGTTATTCAACTATGCACCTCGGTGGAATTTAAACTGCATATTCTGTAGATTTTATCTTCCCGCTAAATAACACCGGAACCTTAAAGTAGAGTAAAACTTGATTTCTTACTTTGTCTTGAACTGATGATCGTATGGGAATCAGCGGTGGTCGATGGCCTTGAAAATTCGCCCACTTAAACAAAAGGATCTGAGCAAAATATAACCGAAATGTGCAAACAGATCAGACTAACTCAGCTCGAAATTAGAAACTTTGAAGAATTACATTATTTCCGAAAACTGATTTTGGTTTGCTCTTAATGGGCAGCATGTTGGATGGTTGATTATGGTGGTCTAACATAATTTTAAAAAACAGGATAATTTTTTCAATAAAAGGGATGGGTTGGAAAATGACTTTAGCTCTTCCACAGGTTGTTGGTACCTAGCTTTTGTCTTGTGTTGTTTTCTGTTTTACATCCCCTTGTCTGTAATATAAGCCCCGTTGGATGGTAATGAGTGCTCAGTGAACCACCAGTTGGTAAAAGTGATCACAATGGACGTAATGAACTTCAGCTCCCCAGAATTCAGGCTGTACGGTCTTTGTCAAGGAGGCGATGTCGGAAGGTTCAAACACATGCCTTATATGTCAAGAGCACATAAACATTCACCTGTGTGAAAGCTCGAATGCTGGTCTCGTGATAATCCTAGAGAAGGTTGTCTCCTAGCAGGTTTTTTTCATTTTCGAGAAAGTGGGACTTGTACAGTACGGTCAGCAGTAAAAGCGAAAGGAAGGAAGGAATCACAAAAACAATTTGGCATAATTTTTTCCTAGACGAGCCTGAGCGCGCCGCTAATTGCAAATAAAATCTATCATGTCACATTGGAGCGCCCGTCTGCATCCACAAGATTGCGTGGGCATCTGAAGAAATGGCAACAACTATCCATCCTTAAAACTTTGTCGAATATCAGTTAAACACAGGCGTACTGTCTGAAACACATGGGCCGCTGCAGGACTGGACTGCGGTTGTGATGCAAAGGATCTCTTTTCAAAATTTTTTAGGAGAAAGCTAGCACGCGAAGACAAACTGAACACACTTCTCCTGAGGTGCAAACAGGTTTGTTGTGGCAGAGTTCTCAGTGATGTACTTCATCGTGGGCTCGCCATCTGCATTTAAACAAACACAAATTAGTGGGTTGAAAAGTTACGCATTTTCCGAAACGGGCAGTTTAGAGCTGTAGCGCATGCTATCCACACTCTGAAAATGAGAAAACCTTACAAACCGGCCGAAGGCATTCTTTTCACAAATATCACTTTTGAATGGTTGGTGATAATGTTTTTCATCTGTTGGTGAGAGCTGTACCGAACGTGAGTGCCACCATTCAAGCAACCCATCATATGTCAACGAAAGTCGCCTAACAGTACCACGTTCATTTTGATGTTGCCTGGTTTTCCATAGCCGTTACGCTGCCTCATATTTGCGAACGTTGGTATATATGGCCCACAGACCTTCTTTTGAGAAGGAAATTAGAGACAAGGGTCATACCCGGATGATCGCCGTAACTGTTTGCTGTCTACTGTCGTCAAACAACTGAAGGGCGATCACTCCGTTTTGTGTCGTGAAATGACACCTGTTGTATTTGTGGTTGATTCCACCAAGGGTAAGACACATTCGACCTGACCGAGTAGTTCCTACAACGGTGCACTGCACCCCAACGGATGTCTGTGAATCAAGCCCACGTTCTTTTTCACTGGGGGAGTGGGAATAAACATACAGTTTAGGTAGTTACTTGAACCGTTGCACTTGGTGAAAAGCGATGCACCGCGGGTACAGGTCTTGGGCATTTACGAATGGATGTTGAAGCCGACAGGTCAAGTGCAGGGACGACATTGAGTACCTGATTCTGTCACGCCCATCAGTGCTTCTGATTACATCTAGACCCTGTCCTGAGAAAACGGTAGCACACCGCAGGACTGAATCTGCCGGGTGCAACTCTCATATCCTGTGAGGGCTATGAGACACATGGTTGTCTGGTATTCAAAAAATGCAGTCCGACCATTGTGTGACTGGCTCGTCTATCGGGAAAAGATTGCCCCATCCCGGATCCGACATGCCCGCTAGGACGAAACATTTTTTCGCAGATATCGACTGTTGATAGGCCAGAATGTTTGACCCTGTAGTGAAATATCGCTTACTCTGGTCTTTCATGCTGTGATATTGCGAATTTGTGCAAGATTCGCAACTGCAAAACACAAAAGGTCGGGTAGGCTCACAAACTCTATCCAAAAGGCACTAAATGCAGAAGTGTTCCTCAGATATAAGCAAATAAGACAAGATGGTTGGAGTCTTAGTTCTATTTTCAGTAGTTGCGTGTAGAAAATGAGAACAATTATTGTGCGGAAGACAACCCAATGACTCACACACAGTTGGAAACAGTGTACACGTATAAGAGCACCGAAGAGCTGACAAAAAACAGTGTGTGGGAAAAAGTGGACAATACAGCTACCAATATCAGTTAGGTGATAAAAATGCATGTCACCGACTACGACGCGGCCGGGTAATTCTGTGATCAAAATAACGTATCACAAATATGGTTGAAAAAGTAAGTAAGGGATGTTGGTGGGGGCCTAACATCAGCCGAGGGAAGAGAATGCCTTGTCGGAGATAAAGTGGAAGAAACAGACCAATTGCAAACTGGGCATGATCACGGTTACCCAAACCGTTCCTAAAAGTTTCAGACGAAATTCCAATTGAAGCACAAATAAATGACGAGATAGGCAACGATAATATCCAAGAAGAGTAGGTGTAGACGTTTCAAAAAGAATGTGAACACAGACAGTAGAAAGTGGGTAGATACAGAGTGCGAAAATTATAGAATAGCTGTAAAGTACTAAGGCAACATCTTGTTAATAGTAGCAATGTTAAGAAATGCGTTTCAGAGACATTGACCAACACTGTCGCGTTCGAACCAAAAAGTTCTCGATACCGAAAGGTGGATCTGTAATACAACATGTACGAACTGTTCTTTCAGTAACAAGATCTTTATCACCAGAGATGCGTTGGACGTCAGTGCAACGATAGTGGAGATCGAATGTTAAACCCTTCAGTCTTTGGCTCAATAGGGGATGTCGGGATTTGCTCAATTGGTGAACAAGATGCTGAAGCCTGGGCTGGTTCAGTGAGCGGAGAGGAGACATCTTCATGTTTCGTGAACGGAACGCTTTCGTTATCCAAGAATTTCAGGGCCGTTTGGGTGACTGCCAGATGCGTGTGGCTGGTACCGAGGGCAATCTGGCGCCAGTCATCCTAGAAACAGAAAGATGACGAAGCAGCAGATGAGAACCAGCTAAGCATTCTTAATAGCGTTAGATTGATTATACATGAGGCCCTACCAGGAGTGTTCGTTAAACGCTCATGCCAAGGGACTCCAGTACGAGATGCACCAGCATTCAGAGCGGTGTATTAGTTTCACATGTACCAAGATAAACCAGACCAGTCCAGCAACATGAAGTCATACTATTACTGTGGTACTTTCACAGTAAACTAACCTGAGAGACCGCCCAAGGAAGGAAATTGCTAAACTTCGAAGATTAATTGACACTCGTTGGTGGAAATGACCAACAATCAAATTTGGTGACCAAAACTTGACCTATCCCGCTGATTCATTAAGGGATTACTACAATGTACTTTGCCAGGTAAAGGGGAATGTGAAGAACCTATGTTCAACCTCTGTACCGGCATCCGTAGTGTCCTCAGTCATCGGTGGAGTAAATTTTAGCAAAGTTGAGAGTGAAGATGAGTACGGCTGACTAGTTGCACTCAGAGGTACCGAAAGGAAAAGCGAGGCACAATCAAAGAAAACATCGTTTTATTCAACAAATCCTGGTGACAAATACGTTCAATAAGAGCACAAGTGTCATCAATATTACTCTTTGGGCGTGAAGTCTTACAGAGGTCTGAGGACTTTAGATAATCGTACAGCAGTGTTACGACAAAGGTAGCTGTAACGGTTATATAAGGGAACATAAGAACAACCAATGACGAAAGACTGGCCCAGTTTTATACAAAATGGAATCTCGTTTATACGAAGCTGACGGCAACACATAGAGAATCTCTTCGGATTACGCATTACAGCAGCTTTTTTATGGAAGATTTTTGTGGTACGAACACTGGTCACCTAAGTACCCACACGGCTAAGCATTAGGACTAGAGGGTCAACACGAATCACATCCGAACCAGAGATGGTTGGAAAAAATGAAGCAAGTACGACTCACCTCTAAGCCAATCTGGACAACTCGCCGACATGACAATTGGGGCTGTTGTCGAGGATGGAATTTCAGTGGTAAGAGTGGACTTAGAGGTTCCTGTATTGGCCCTTCGACAGAACAAGGAGAATCACCGTTCCGTCGTAAACAGGAAGACTCCTGGGGCAGGATGAGTGTCCCTGTTGGGTGCACGGAAAACGATGCCTTAGGGGCACTGATGGGGGCGCAGGCTGATGAGGAGATTGGTGTAAAAGCCCGATTCCAAACAGTCGCTTTCGCCGTTAGTACCTCCAGACAATCAAAGTCCGTGGGAGCCGACAAAATGCTGGGATCAACCGATCGATATGCTACCGGACGAACCACATGGTCTACCCGCTCTGGACCAAGTTCGTGTTTTAGCGGATCTGTTGGGCTATCGAATAGACGTGTACACACGGAACGCTGCCAGAAGGAGGGGGTAAACAATACATCAGAAAATCCGTGGAAAGAGAGAGAGTAGAGTTTCATGGTCAAAAAGGTGGCTGAGAAGATTAGCGAGCTCCACAACCACTCATTCTTAACAGAACGCATATCATGTCCTCAATCTAGGACTCAATTTTTTAGTACTTGTCAATAAACCTGGAAATTAGCTCCGTTAGGAGCGTTTACTACGAGACCAACTGGAAACAAGACCAGACGGCCTGGTTGCAACATCAGAAATCGGTCAAGCTAGGGCATACATTCCCATTGATTGTGAGTGGAAGGTTGCTCTTTTAATCAGTAGATTTATTGTCCAGCTGTTTCATGCACATACCATCAATCAGGAGCCAATCCGTTGACAAAAACGGGTGGCGATGGCAGAGCTATTGAGAATTATCTTGAAACACAGTGTCACCTCCGATGTGGTTTCATGTAGGCGAAGAAAGAAACGGTTTTAGCGACTCAATTTGTTATATCGTGAGAACTGCCCACCTGCAAAAAAAGTCCATTCAGGGCGAAGACTGGGGAGAAGTGAATTTGCGAATCATGTATCTGATCTGGATCTTTCAATAGTCAAACAGAAAATGCTTGGGTGAAAACAAAACCTTTGTATACGGGGTTGGTAGTTTGATGGAGCCCAGGAGCCCAAGCTAAAGTGGACCGAATGTGACTCATCAAAAACAATCCAAGACATGGAAACTGACCATCAATTTGCAGTCGAACGTCGTTCACATCATTCGCATAACTAGTTCTATGAAGACGAAGCGACTGAGCAAAAAAAAACTGAAAATTGTCGACGACTTTAAAGAATGAAGAAACTGAAGTAAAACCACAATCATCGATCAACCGGGCGGGAATGTCCCAAACGTTGCAGTAGAAGGCGCAAACCCAGGTGAAACTAATGAAGTCAAGGGGCTTCAGTGTAACTAGTTCTAGAAGACGAAGCGACTGAGCAAAAAAAAACTGAAAATTGTCGACGACTTTAAAGAATGAAGAAACTGAAGTAAAACCACAATCATCGATCAACCGGGCGGGAATGTCCCAAACGTTGCAGTAGAAGGCGCAAACCCAGGTGAAACTAATGAAGTCAAGGGGCTTCAGTGTACCCTTCAGCGCTTGAAACTTGAAGAAGAATTAACGCGATTCTTTAAGGCCGAGTAGCCGGAATTGCTGTCAAGACTGCTAGGGTGATATACACGATTTTCATAACCTTAGTAAATTTTGATTTGGTTTGTGGCCAGACCTCTAACTAGGCAATAGCAGCAACTATAGCAGCATGGATGAAAAATACCGGTCAGTGGCCCTTCGACTAACTCGTAGTTGATGGAAAATGTGGAACAGGTAAAGGAGCTGAAAAGAGCCAATTGGCTTGGCAATTATTCCAAGGAAAACCAGCATATAGCAAAATGTTACTAAACTGAAAAAGAGTGGGAGACGTTACTATCGAGACTTCGTCCAGCAAGTGAAGTCAACCAGTACTGAAAAGTCACGCACTTTATACCCGTTTGAAATCACCCTCAATGCAGACCTAGAGGATCTGCAGTGGGATACCGACATGCGACTCTCCAGCTATTAGTGAAAACGCATGCCACTGGGCTAAAGCTGGCTGACCAATGGTGTGATTCACTTGCAGCTAGACAGGATATAGTGTAATGACCCTTCAGTCACGGAATCTAGCTTGTGTTCCTCTAATGTCTCTACTCTTTGAGCGACGATTTCGCAGAGGGCGCAAGTGATCTGTTTTTTCTGTTGTTTTTCCCTTTGGATTTGTGAGGTGTGTATTACCAATGACTACAATACAGGGTAACCAGTTTTTCGGCATTGGCTGAAGTCACCTGCTGGATGAGATTTTAATTGAAACTTCGGAATCTCCTCACGACACAAATGGTAGGAAACGTACCTAGACAACAAAAATCAAGGAGTCATGTGTACCACAAAAATACTTACATGGAATCCTGAAGCTTTCTCGGAGTCGTTAAAACCTCGGTGGAGAAGGCCGACATAACGTGCACTGTTGTTCCCCGAGGCCAGGTTGCGCAACACAGCCGGAGGACTCACAAGATGGAAAGACATTTGATCGGTTTCACTGAGTGCTTTAGTTGGAGTCTGGACAAGAAAGTTGTCATCCGTAGTATAACCCGAACCAGCAATGGAACGGTGGACGGCGTTCGGGAGACTGGGCAGACCAGGGTGGGCTGAGATAGTGTCCGGAGCAATGGATACCTGAGACGCTTGGGAAATGCTACATGTAGATGCAGGAGGTAGGCTGCTTGTAAGATTGAACTGAGGTCGGGTCACCAGTGACTGCGAACTCGTTGATGGGGTTGGGTTGGATGTTTGCACTATCGGTCGAGAACTTTATGAAAGGAACAATGAATAAATGGCAGGTGTTAACCGAAAGGGGATGAATTCCAAGTGTGACCAAACTGAAGAAGTCATGGCTTCAGCCATTAAAAAGCAACAAATCGGTGGTATATTTGACCACAGAGATATTAGATAACTGCATTACCAGACGTTTCATTCAAGACTTCTCGTATGACGTAGTAATAATCCTTGAGCTGCAGTTCACTTTTGGTGCCTAGCTGCAATGTCACCCGAAGGAAGCACGAGGGCTGAGATACTGCCAAGTTGCCCAATTCTAGACAGGAGCAATCAAAATGCCGGGGTTGGACTCGATCCACGGACCATCTGTTCAGTAGATTCGTGTCCTAACCACTGAGTAATCTGGAGCTTGATATAAGATGAACCAGTGATTGAGGTGCGATCATATTGACCGCAAGGTCCATTGTTCGAGCATCCTCCCCCTGGCATCTCGACTGCTCTCGTTTAGACGTACGCGACCTGACAGCACCTCGACTTTCGTACTTCCATTGGGTGGCATGGCAGGTAGGCAACGAAAGGGTGTTTCAGATGAACGATTATTATTATTTTTAGTCATTTCTGTAGCTAGTTAGCTAACTATCGTGTTGTCGTGATGTTGTCTATCCACAATCTATTTACCTTTTGGCAGTATGGGATGATTATCCGAAACATTACTTCTCAATTTTCTTGCGGACTACGGGGACCTTGTATCCGGAAGCGTATTCAACGTCCAGTAATGATGAGAACGATCCAAACATCAGTGACTAAGAGAATGGAAAAAACAGCATTACGTGCTCCTCCAGGCTTGTAATAACAATACAGAGTCACTGAGACTCACCCCGGTCTTGGACAGAATGCCGGCCATTCAGAGCAAAGGCCTACAGATCAGATGATTGGGACTGATTCTCGCCAATCACGTTTCGTCGCCCCGCGAAAAAAGTTAGCAGACCACTGCCCCACCGAATCAATCGTACACTACCCCTTCATGTTCATAGTGAGCATTCGTAAGGGAGCTCATGCGCGTGGAGGTCACGTGGTTGGGTGAAGTAAGTATACATGTTCGTGTGTTCAACTAAGAATGGATGAAGTAACTGCACAGTTAAAGTTAACATGAAAAGACATGAAGGCTCTTACGTCCGATACCCCAACCGAGGAATGAGAACTTGGGGAAATAAGCAAGAATGGTTCGGAAGTCTCTAAACCAGAGTTTCCTTGGGTTCAGGAAATGACCGTCAAAGGGGGCATGCCCATCACATCAAACGAACATCAGCCCAAAGGTTGCGAATCGCTTTGGGCTGTTTGGCATTTGCACCTGATCGACTTCCATGCAAACCAATTTTAGAGGTGTGCGAGGATGCGTGTACAAAAAAGTATCTTTACGTAACGCAACTCAAAAGATTGACAGATTCGTCCACACTGTCAGTGAGCGTAAAAAAACAGAACTCACCTTAGTTGGCGGGTCGCAAGTTCGGATGGACAAGGAAGACTAATTGTTAAACGCTCCGGCGAAGACTTACGGACAGACAGCTGACTGAGCAAAGATGGTATGGTGGGTGTCAACTAGAAGGTAAACAGAAAAGTGAGACGCCATTGTCAAGATTGTCCGATGGAGAATTGGGCAGCTGAATATAGTCTTTTGCTCTTCGAGGCTCAAACGGAGGAGAAACGCTGTAAAACACTTCTCAATCTTTCAGCTTACAATTAGCTTGACGCGACGAACGTGTAGTCACAGATTCAAGACATTTGTTTCCAACGCACAAAATATGGGTACTTGTTCTAAAAATAAACTGGAACCCGTCAACCGAAGAACCATTTGAGGATACGACACTGTGTCACGTACAACTGAAAGTTGACTACCCTGCCAGTAAGGCGTTTGTGCGGACTTGGAACCCATTCTGGAGGTTTAAAACAAGCAATGTTGAGCCCCTGGCCTGTGTTGGCTACATGGGATGTCATTCGGAGGAGGCAGCTAGCTCAGGTGATGCACCTTAGAGATCTACTGGGACTGACAGAATGTTTTGTGACCTAGACAGGCAAACGAATATTGGAATCATCTCACAAATGGCACATTCTATGGAAAGATGGGAAATAAAAAGTGGGAGATCGATCCTATCAAGTGGGACAACCATGGCAGCTGGCTGTATTTTTGTCTTAAGGGAGACTACGTCTTTTCTGGGAATGGTATCCCATAGAGGATACCCTCGAGGGGGTCTGTGAGTGACACGGAAGGCTTTTTGTAAACCCCTCTGGGAAGCAATTGTATGCGAAGCCACCATAGTCCGGAAACTCATGAAAAAAAGCCATATTGCAAGCGCATGTGAACAAAAAGGTTGGACACGAAACAACTGCAATCCTACCTGATCTGAAGGAAGAACAACATTGGCATTCCTTTGAGACATAGGCTGAATACCCAGTGCGGGGCGTGAGTTGCAAACCAGGGTCGGTGAACACATTCTCCGTTGCTTGGACGCTGGATCGGTTGATGCAGAATATGGCTTTGGTTTCTGTTTCCATGGCAAACTGGAAGGGATGGAATCAACCGAACACCAAATACGGGTCAATTAACAGAACGAAATGACAAACGTCTTTAATATTGTGGAAGTTAAAGATGTGTTCACACATAAAACTACGCGACCGGCCGTGTGGGATACAACCGAGTTTAGATGTGAATCTAAAAGTTAGGATGCCTAAGATGCCTAACATAGGGAAAACAGAGACCCTTATTCGGAGTGCGGGTTTAAAAATCTCTTTATTAGGTTTGGAGAGGAGAATTTCGCTAAGTGTTTCCACCCCAACTCACAACACCAATAACCTGGTGTGCAAGTTTGTGGGGCACCGGGAAAGGTGATACACAAACAGTTGGATCGTCATAACGCCGCCGCCTACTAAGTGGCTGTGTATGAGGAAATCAAGAAGTGAAACGTGAAGGCGGGTGGAAACAAATAGCATAGTCACTTTCGTTTGAAACAGACACAATTACACAGCAGACATTTCATTTGGTGGGATGTGCATAACGGATAAACTAGTGCTGTATATGGTCGTTTTGCAGGTTACTGCTACATATCAAAGGATCTTCACCACTAGTATAATTTCCTATTGTTGGCGCAAAATGAAATAGTACCGTAGTCTTTTTGGACCTCGAGTCGGTGGCGCAGGATTCCAAAAGATGTGCACTGTTGATAATTCCCAATAAGAATCCAACAGATATAAAGTGCTTCTCTGTTTTTCAGCACAGGCTGGTTTCACTTACAGGGCGAAATCTCCATTAGAAATTCCCAACTCTCCTAGCACTACCAGCCCAGGGGAAGAATAAAATTACCCAATGAGTGAAGCTTCCATGTGAGAAGTTGTGAGTTGAGGAACCAGTCAACACGCGTGACCACGCGACGTGGTCCCCCTGCTTCTCGGCTTTCCAGCATAGATCAGCTTCACTAATAAGAAAAAATTGACTAAACAAAAAATCAAAGAGCTAAAAGAACTGACTGGATGTTGTCAACTGTTCAAGAGGTACATGAGTGACTGGGTCGAACGGTACGTCACGTGAGAAAAGTGAACTCAGAATTCGCATCAATCCGTTGAAACAGTAATCCTGCTGTGACCGTTTGGACACACTTGGATCGATATCGATGGTCTGCTGGACAGCGAAATGACCCACTCGAATTGATCACGTGACCAGCGTCAACAAACTGTCGAGTGATATAGCTTCCGATCATACTATTAAGTTAAGCGAGAGATCTTTGGGAAGCATCAGACACGGAGTACCGGCTCTTGATCGCCTGACACACGGACAGTAATTGGTGCCTTGGCCGAGGTGCCCTAGACTGTGTCCATATGGGGGGCTTGTCTGTTTCTTGCACCTTGAAGAACGAATTTCCAACCAGGTTGACCTGGCGGAGTGTTAAACACTCAAGCCAACCACCAACTAAATGTGGCGGTTCTTGTTTGGGAAATACCCCGGAGATCCGTACGGGCTTGCACACAAAGTCCTTTGAAGGTGTACGGCTTGAGAGATGAATAAAAGTTTGACTATAGTGCTACCCCCCCCCACTGTGCTAACCCCTGTATAAGCTTAGGCAACCTGGCAGTATCCCAGCCCTCGTGCTTCCTTCGGGTGGCATGGCAGCTAGGCACTGAAAGGGTGTTACAAGTGAACGTGGGGCTATCTAGACTGAATTAGCCCTCGTGTTCCTTCGGGTGGCATGGCAGCTAGGCACTGAAAGGGTGTTACAAGTGAACGTGGGGCTATCTAGACTGAATTATGTATTTAATTCGCCACATAGTAGGTGCGGTGCTAAGAACTGGGACTGCAGTTAGCCGGTAACTTGCTGCAATAATCAAGTGGCAACTGAACCGGACTATGACAATCTAGGCTTGGTTGGAAATCAGAAAAATCTGGGCCTCAATTACAATCAAAATTAAAAATCCCACCACGACCTAATGAAGAGCAGTTTTCCATTCCTCGGCTGATGTTGGATGTAGTGCTGACAGAAATAAGACACGTGAGATCAGCACCAGACACTACACCAGACTAATTCCCCAAGAGATGTGGAACGGCAACATCCTTCCGTAAACTCGTTAACGAGTATCAGTACAATTATGTGATATATTGGACACCAAAAAATGAAGAAAGACACGAGCAGTTCTTCGTTCGACCTACTTCTATAATGACAAATTCAGGCCAAGGACCATTTACTGCGTCCCCACAAGCAGATGAATCCTAATGATTGAACATCATCTCATTAATCACATTCCACCAAGACCTGAAAAATCCATAAATGGTGCCCACTGAACAGATATATGAAAAATTATAAACACTACAAGTCGTTCCGAAACAGCCCGCGGCAACCCACTCCTTGGCTTTCATCAGCTTCATTCTAGAATGCTGCAGTAACGATGTGCCTTGTGTAGCACAGTCATCAGTACTTCCTGGAGAACGTAGAGGATCACACCAAATCAGAACCTGTCAGCCCAAAGTGGGCAAATCTAACAGCTTGTGACGTAAATTCGTTGGAAGGAGGTTTTCTTCAGACACTGCACAACCCGAAAATGTGTCCATTCTAACGACCTAACCCGTTCTTCGAAATACAGAAGAATATGCAGTAAAGTGAAGTGACAACTGAACCCCAGGCGAAAGTTTAGAGTGAGTAGGACATGCAAGAATCAAATTTAACAGATGATACGGAGAGCAACTCACAGTGGTTTTTTTGCAGTACTGGGCGGGCGGTTCTCTTTGCTCCCCAAGAAAGTCGTCAACATACTTCGTCGCAGTATATGTTCATACCGTCGTCGGACATCGAGTGCAGTACGAGGTCGAGCAGTGTTCATTGATGACAACTGGGTGGAAATGAGATCCCAATTGGGACCATTTAAGTAGTACAAATTGAAAAGTGTGATATCTTCGTGTTCTGACCATGGTCGCCTTCTGGGTCGACTTCGGTTCCGTTCGTTAGGTGGTGGACATGTGATAGACCCCAAGTAGATGGACATCGGGGGCTGAGTGTGACGAGTACAGCTATTAGGTGAATTAAAATTTGACTGAATGAAGAACAACTGTGAGATGACGCTACTAAAAACATTAACGCGATAATAAAAAAAAGTGCCGTAAGGTCAAAATGCATAAATCGAGGGGGGTTAAAAATGTACGTTTCCAGTTGAAGTGACCTAGTTGCCCAGAAACTTATGCTTGGTTACAAGCTGGCAAGAATCTTGAAAATAGTCTGGATTAACGAGTAACGGCAACGCATTATCCTCTGATTAAACATGATTAGATTGGATTTGGTTGTTTTAACCCAGGGAATGTTGATTCGACGCAATTGGAATTCCTAATACATAAATCCACTAATTTTCATGTGCCCAACATCCGAGTAGTAGGGGAGACTGTTGCAAGGAACCGTTCGCGTCATTTTCCATATGACACCATTCAAACAGCGACGGCTACCTATGGACAAAGCGAACTAATGCTTTCGCAATTCGCCCTCGGTTTATTTACCGTGTGTACATCACTCGATGTAAAGGACTATCACCGTCGGATTCACAGTGCATATGCAGCATCAAAACTAGGCACTGTCGCTCTAAGGCTACAAAATAACAGAAACATTTGACTTGAAATGAAACGCAGATAACGACGAATGAGACCTTTATCGGACCGCAGTAGAAGTCCAGATGCTACCGATATGCGCAACAAAAAACCAGTAAGGAGAGAGAGTCCGATACCAGCATGAAGCATGTGGTAGATATTGTGGAATACAATTATCAAGGTATATCTAGCAGATGATCGATGGTTGCTTGGAAGAACACTTTGGAAATTGCGCTACTGAATGTTTGGAACTGCTACCAGCAGTATGAACCAACAATGGTATTTATCGGAAGCTTTTTCTGTTAACTTTGGGAATTGAATATGTCAAGCGTTTCATGCACATGTGATTCATCTAGACAAGCACGCTTTCCCATTACGAAAGCCCGAGATCCAAAAAAGTGCAGTGTTACTGGTTCCATATTCCAAGTTGTCTGATACGATATACATATACTGATTAGTTCCACGAGCTGGGCGTTACTTCAAAGTTGCCTGAATTTAGAGTACTCTTCTTTTTCCTGAGTGAGGATTATTTTGACGATAATGTTCAGAAGGATTAAATATCTATGAAGAAGGTTGTGGGAAAAGCTGCTCCGGTTTCACAAGGACTTCTAGCTGATGTAATTAATTGAGATGCTTTCTGTCGACTGGTGAATTGATATAAAAATGACATGCGAAGAATTATGGGGTGGTTGGCCCAAGTTCGTCAGCATCTAAATCGAAAGGGCTCGTGTCCGAGTTCATATCCACCGACTCGTGAAGGGTGTATGGGTACATAAAGGCAATCCGACCAGAATACACTGCGTACAATGACCTTCATAAGTGACAAAACAGAAGATCCCCTTCTTCACAGTATTCGGGTTTCAAGTAAGCGGTGGACACCTTTATTAATCCACGCACCGATCACCGTAAAAGAATATCCCCAGTTTAAGGATGGTCACGCTATTGGTCAAGAAATCACCGTAGAACTCACGACCACTTCAGTCCCCTAGACCAATCTATCACAAAGGCTATTCACCTGTCCATCGATTTACGATTGATAACACGTTATCGCGGACATTTTATGCACGGGCGACATCTGTATCTATATTCCATCTCCTTTTGCTCAACGCTTATCATATGCAAATTTGAGGCAGACGTCTCGCAGGCATGAATTTATTTGTCTCTGTGTGTATTGTCTTTATTCATCAGCGAAAACCTTTCTATATATAGTCCAACTGGACAGGACGGTTAGGATACCGCCGAAGCCTGAATAGATGCCCCCTAACAGGAAATCGCACCCAACATTCCAGGTTACCTCGGACTAATCTAGCCATCTGAGACACATATGAAAAACGTCCTGTGTGAGGCCTTAAAATGAGATTCGGATCACCTTGTAAACTGAATTCTCACGGAATTGCACAGTTGGAAAACTGAAAGAAACAAATACTGACAGCACTCACGGTTCTGCCTGCCCGGATGAGTGTACACAAGCCTCAGTCGAAGCTAGATGGTTAACCGATTGTGGATCGAGAGCCGGATAGCAGAGTGATTTCGGCGGCCCGTCAAGGCAAGCCAACAAGGCGGGAGTTGTCGTACGTTGATTAGAGACACCTATGGCAATAAAAAGATCAGAAGGTTTTGATATGATAATTCGAAATGTGGGGCACCACTACAAGCATCACATCGGTTAAAATAGCTAGTGCAAGTAATTATGACGAGAAGTGGGCGTAGGGGGAGCAGAGTTGTCAATAAGTAGAACAAACAAAGCTAACAGCACCCGAACAGTCACACTTGTTTGATTAGTCCTCCAATAATCAAAAAAGACATGAAGTCCTGCAAGCAGGGAAAGCCAAGTGGCTCCGACGGCATAGCAACTACAAAAGATTGGTGCACAAGGAAAGAATACGAGTAGTGTGACATCGAGTTCCGGTATAGCATGCTTGGTAAACGCAGTGCGCAGTCTTACAACAACTCGTCTCTTTCTCAAGGGACAAGCAAAATCAACGACGGTAATATTCACACAGATCACCATCCCTCACAGGGGGTGACCCTCCGAACCGACACAACCGGAGACCACATGAACCACATGCACTTCACTCTTGCTAGAGCCGCATGAGGTTGATAACCCAGGGCGCTGGTGCAACAAATTCGGCATAGTCGCAAGCTGTTTCCCCAAGTTATGATCACATGAATTCACAACCTCGAATCAAAGACTACTATTTTAAACATGTGCGAGGGAAATGTTAATTGCAAACAACTGATTATATCAGATAACCGCACAGACTAAACCAATATATCCACCTCTGCTTCCCTCAGGAAGAACACATCGTTCTCTGAATTCACCTCGTCAGATTAAGAAATCATAGCCTTCGAAGGATCGTGCCGTCACTTCAACCTCTTCTTTCCACTGTTCGTGGAAGAATACTGCATAGTCTAACTGCTTACTTCATCCTCCATAGTGTGATAATCTAGTCAATCACCTCCAATGTGATAACAGTGGCCAACTCCTTTGATATCATGAAGGCAAAACTGTTCATCCTGAGCTACGCGTGGGAAAACCTGGTAAGGCCACGTGCCCAATACATTTTGGTGTATATTAATGCACCAAATTACCGATGGCTATTGAGTCGTGTTACATCAAACACAAACTAGAAGCATTGATTAAAGCAAGCCAATTCGAGTGACTGAAAGGGATGGCATCCTGTACTGCGCATAACTTTGTCGATCGGACGGATGGAGGCGGTATTTTTCAGTACGAAAATTCCCACAACCAATCTCATACATTTTAACCAACGGCGTACATAGTTGCTTTGGCAGTGTCGTATGCTCACTTTCACCGCAACGGCCTCCACTCGATTGGTGCGCTCGTGACGTTGAAATATCCTCGCACTCACCGATTCTGCCAGGTCACTGGAAAATACACCGAAATATTCCGATTAAAAGATGCACCCAGTTCACCGAGTCTAGGGACGGTGGTTTGGATCCCTGGCGAGGCAGGATAGAAGGTGAAGAGGAGGTTACAGTGGACATGCCTTTTCAGAAGCCCGTGGGCACCGGTAGGCAACTATGCTGTTCTGACGCAGGCGGGTATAGCGGGCAGATGCCTTACTAGCCTTCCATCACGGTCCGTAGCGAACAACTGCTACACCTAATCTCGTGCCTATTTCGGCTGCACGGATAGAGAGCTACGGTAAAAAAAAGACAACAAGCAGGTATTGTAGCAAACTATCACGCTGTGGAATTTCGGTGTCCGACAATCGTCTGTCAAGTTTTTTACTTCATAAAGAGCACCCAAGGCTGTCAGTTATTTGACCAGATGCATTTATTGAGCTCCAGTAATCATACACATCCCACAAAACTCCCGTCAATGTCTTATCGAACAATACACAACTTATGACGGACATACTTACTCACTGAACATGGATACAATGGAACAAAGGACCAAAGTAGGTTCACAAGTTTGTGGGCATCAACCGCCGGGTCACCGTATTTAGAAGTGTTGACCGATCGACAGAATCCAAAACGGCCATCAAGTTAAGGGACACCAAAAATGTGCTGTTTTTAAATAAACCGTTGCCATAACACCTGATGGAGTGTTACGATCAGGTTGATGAACCCTCTGCACGGTCAAAATCCTGCTCACGGGCTAGGTTTTCGCGAGCTCCCTCAAGAAGCCAAAGAAGCAGTGGTGCCAGAAGTCGCGTTATAAAAGTAGAGTGTGGTTTGACACCTCTGCGGTTACTAAGTTTACTGTGAATATCTTTTTTGAAGATGGGCGCCATTATTTATTGACCCCGATTTGTTTGGACCCCTTTTTCTCAGAGGAGGTAAATATGCTACTCAAGCATTGAGTGAGAAATTTCCTGCCCTAGTGAACACGGTGGGCAGAAGGTCGTTGAGACACGGGACACGATTAAGTTTGCCTCGAGTACTTCTGAGATAGAAGGAATCTACACATTCACAGTCCACGTTTTTGCCAAAGACAGGGAGCCCGAATTGAAAGTCAGACGGCCAAATGAACTGTTCTTTGGAGTGTTCTGTCTAACGGTCCAAAGGTTCTCTTTTTGCTACCGCATAACCATGATTTATTTGAAGGCCTTATTGTGAAGAAAATAATAAAGGTGGGCGAGGAAGAGACTTGGTACTAGCTTCCTGCAATCATTCCGAGGCATCTACACCCGAAGACACTCATTCAGGCAATCTGGATAGAACCTGACAACAAGAACGCCACTGATATCGGTTGACACCCAAATCTTGCAGCGTCTACAACCAGGCACAGTTGGAATCACGCGGTTTACATCCTGGGAGGCGAGTAGCTTCACAACGGCACCCAAACGTCTCGTAATCTCCTTCATACCCGTCGGCCAGGTTAAGAGTTGGCCACACTTTGCTTCCGTCACTCTGAATTGGACACTGAAAACAGCACTGTTCGGGAAACAATGGTTCGGCATACACAATACATGACCTAACCAACGCAGCTTCTCGTGGTAGACACATTCCTTAAAGGAAGTCCTCGTTGCACAACCGAAAACTTGCTTTCCAATCGCCTTGTTAGGGATTCGCCGTCACCAAACCACATGAGCTACGGTTCTGAGATAACGATTTTCAAACAACTAAAGACGTCTCAGTTCCACTGGTCGAGCAGGCCAAGACTCACAGTCATACAATAAAACAGCTCGCCAAAGCAGAGCAATTCCATTCACCAACTTCGAAAAGTTTGAGTAGCTCAAGTGTATTGAGCTGACCTGACGAGGAAGCTACTGGACACGCATAGTCAAGCGGATAACGAGGATTGCTTGGAGGTTGAATGGAAGTGAATGAAAGAGGCTATGCTCTGAGCTTCTAGAATGAATGGTGGATATTGTTGAGAACAGCTGGTCTTTCTGGTGCCAGAATGGTCATGGCAGAAATGAGCGACTGTGATCGTGTAAGCAGTTCCATGAACCACCGGATAATCAGAAGTTTGAAGAATGACAGAGAAAGTTGGTGGATTTTGAAGGCTCAGGAGATGAAGAACGTTTCTGCTGCAGGCAACAGCCACGCCTGTATCAGCTGATTCGATCAACCAGAAAAAAGAGAAGTGTCAGTGAAACTATATGTAAAAAAGAGGGCATGGTAATTAATTCGCTCAATCGCCGTCTTGAGCGATAGGCTGAGGACTTCCAAGAACGGCTCAGCCGGTCTCCTACAACACAAATGGGAGAAGCCAGCGGGACTGAAGAGAACATGGACACTAGTCCGCCGTCAGCAACGAAATCCAGCGTGAGATATCAATCCTCAATCACGATAAGAAACCTGCCCGGAGGGTTTGAACCCCGCACTCTTCAAAGGTGGCGAGGTCCTGGTGACCAGTCTGACAACCGTACTGCAAAAAATTTGGAACTAAACCCAAACACCAGTAGAAAAGGGCTCCTCGACTGTCATCCCAGTTTTCAGGGCATGAGAACGTCATGCGAAAACCATCGTGGAGGGTTTGAAGCACTCTTCAAAGGTGGCGAGGTCCTGGTGACCAGTCTGACAACCGTACTGCAAAAAATTTGGAACTAAACCCAAACACCAGTAGAAAAGGGCTCCTCGACTGTCATCCCAGTTTTCAGGGCATGAGAACGTCATGCGAAAACCATCGTGGCATCAGCCTGCTCTCTGGCATTCTTTTGCGCAGACTGACCGATTATCACGAGAGACAGATTCGTGAGGATCAAGCTGGGTTTTGCCTCGGTCAAGGATGCATCGAACATATCTTTAACTTGAGACAAGTTCCTGAATAGCGCCACTCATTCAGACACACAACATTAGTCGTTTTTCTTGATCTGAAAGCTCCTTTTGACTCTGTCCATTGCCAGAAACTTCGGCAGTGTCTAGCAATCAAGGTTGTCCTGGCGAATTTATACCCTTTATGAGGCTTTGTATGCGAACTTCTCTGGGCGCGCACAAGTGTACGGAAGCTCTCGCCTGCATTCACCACATGCAATGGTATAAGACAAAACTGCCCTCCTCAACTTTGTTACTGATGTACTGTTCGAAATTTTTTTGCCTGCCCCTGAAACTTTCGGGGCGTTCCACTACAGACATTGATTACACGGACGATTTTGCTCTCCTTGGTTCAAATCCTTCAAAAGTGCAAACCATTTTAAATAACTTGAATAACGCTGCCGCACGGTTTGGAATGAGCTTCACACCTGCAAAGTGTAAAGTGCTGTTACAAGACTGGAGGAGCCAACCCAAATCTCGCCCGCAGATGAGCCGATCGACGTGGTAGGTTTGTTTACCTGGGCTGTTGTATAAGTTCTAGTTCTAGTTCTAGTTCTAGCTGGATATGAAATTACTTCTCGATTCGGGAAGTCCAGGACAGTTTTTACCAACCTTCGACACTTATGGATCCGGCGTGAAGTGAGCTTGTCCGTCAATGGCACAGTTTACGTTGCGGCAGTATAATCCATCCTGCTTTATGGATCATAGACGTGGCCTCTACATGCAGAGAACATACAAAAGATGTCACTGTTTGACGATCGGTGCCTCAGAAGCATTGGTCGGGTCCGGTGGGAACATCGGATCAGTACTGTTGAGGTACGCCAGATGGTCACAGGAGGGAGGAACTCGCCCGTGATAGGTGAATTACTCACGCTCCATAGGTTATGTTGGTTAGGACATGTACTCCAGATGCCAGAAGAGCGTTTGCCTTGCAGAGCTCTTTTCGCCCAGCCCTGTGCTAAGTGGAAGAGACCGAAAAGTGGACAGTGTACGACCCGGCAACAAAATACGAAAACGCTAAACAGTAAACTTAGTCGGGTTGACAACTGCTGTCATCCTGGATGGGAACCCCGGGACTCGACCCACCAATAGTTAACCACACTGGCTGAATTGCCCAGTCGCGTAGGCAGCGACGCTCGTGCACTCAAGCTGTTGTCTACAATGCGCAGCTACTCAGTTCCAGATCTAATCAAACACATTATCGCCTCCAAGGCTTGGCTGTATGTTCCACACTCCCACTTTCCGGTGATCAAAAATGTAGCAGCTTGAACCAATGTGCCTACAGTACACGCTTTACAGCTGATAAACTTGATTGACATAACCCAAGAAGTCACTCCCAATTACATACAGTGAGCAACAACCCCGGAACGGCCACTAAGATGGGATCCCTCAAAAGTTAGCCGACCAAACTGAGCATTTGTATCACCTGCCTAAATCATGACATTTGTACTTCTAGCTGGCAGGCTGAACAATCCAGACTCCGCAACATATCAAAATATCCTGTTTACCTTCGTCTGGAGGACCGAAGCTCAGTGCCAGTAACATGCGGTCGTTAGTGCTTTGGAGATTGTTTACAGCTTCATGAAGCTGTGTACTTTAAATCGAAATCGCCCATTCGCCTAACCCTGCGTAAAACACCACACAACGCACTAGCGCATCTGTTTGTGGCTTCTACGTGAAATCCAGAAATAAAAAGATACAAAAATAATTCATCAGCACCACCACCATTATCTTCAGCGCGAGTGCCTGACTGCTGTAAAAACAAAGTTGTGCAGGGATGCGCTTGAAGGTAGCAGCTGAAGGGCGGGAACCTGACCTATTCACAAAAGAACTTACCATTTTGAGCAGCGGAATCAAATGGAGAAGCCCATTCCGTAACAGCAGACGGTATAATCGACATGGAAATTATGATTTCGACATCAAGTAACATTCAGGACTGAAAAGCCTAAATTTCACAAATCTGTCTAGGCTCCCGGTGAATGGCTCTGGATATCACATCGAAAGCATGTTTTGGCAAGTAAATCTGCTGTAAAAGATAGAACATAGGACTGTGATATGAAAAGGAGAATACAACGGGATAAACTTTCGATGGACATGTGCTGTCCATCAAAAACAGCCACTGAGAATATAGCACAATCCCGATATACGCTGCACCAAAAGGATCTATGGAAAACATGTACGCAGTTGACCAGGTATTCACCAGTTGTCAACATGGCATTTTCGTTAAACCGTCACATCGGGTACCCATGAGGAATAAGAGCTCTGTACGATAGGTTTTCCGTGCCCCGACAGTGAAGCTTGTCAGTCAATGATGTTACGGTAGCGGAGCATCGGCGTTGAACACTGATGTCATGCTGTCAATGATGAACCGAACCTGTGCCTAGCTGTTATGCCACCCGAAGGAAGCACGAGGGCTAAGATACTGTCAAACTGTCCGAGCCTAGACAGGGGAAGTCGAGAGGCAGAGGTCAGAATCGAACCACGAACCTTCTGTTCAGTAAATTCGCGCTTTGACCACTGAGCCAACTAGCCGCTTATGAACCTAAGGGGAAAATGGAACCTCCGGCATTCGGATTGTCATATGATACACAACTCATCTGTTATTCCTGCCAGCTGCTTGTGTGTGGTGGCTAACAAGCCACCGTACGACGCTGCGGTAGATGGACTGAACTTTAGAAAACCGGACGCCTCGTTTTCGCGACTGGTAAAAACTCGCCATATTACATAAAAAGCACCGTATGGGTGGCGGAATTGGTTACCTTGAACAGCCCGGATCGTAGATAGTGGTGCTTAACTACTATGCAACCACTCAGAAGACAATGTACTGACAAAGGAATAAGGGAATAAAAAGAAATGCAGCGGGGATTCGCGGCAGTATTACTCAGTCTCTGAGAAGGTTGAACTAACAGTGCCCACATCTTCAGATAGCACTGAAATACACAAAACCCAACACTGTTGGAGCAAAATGGCACCAGCTAGACGGTTCCAAGTGCAACTCGAAGCATAAGACGATAGACATACTTTAGTTGGACAGCCTAGTTAAAGCATGCACTCAACTGCAGCCTGTTTTGTACCAGATCAAACAGGATTTCCAGCGACGTACACTCCATCAGGAAAGAATAAAGATGATACCTGATAACTTGAGTGAATTCCCGGTGAACAACATCGTTGAATGGTGTACGGTTCCTCGGCACGCAACTATGGTGCTTGTCATGCAGGAAAAATTGAGAGGCAAACATCTCTGAAGACATAATCCTAATTTTTGACGTTTAAGAACACTAAGGCGAGAACATCCCACCTGAGGACAGACTTGGTTACCAGCCAGCCTGGGAAGTGAAGTGCTTTCGTCAATATGGCATAAGTATACAATAATCTTCGTTTTACTGACCAAACGGCATTTTGAGGACTACCATAGACAGACCCAGTTTTAAAGACGCAAGGCGTTATCCACCTCGCCAAAGGAATTTCTTGGTTAGTCTTCATCATCATAGTCTAAGAATGGAAGAGAGTGTGTGAGGGAGGCGACCTAATGCTGGCTTATCGCAAGCATTTTTTTGTTGCATACACCTCCAAACGTTCATCCAGACAACCTGGAAAGGAACTGACAACATGAACGTCACTGACATCGATCAGCTGCCATTTCTTACAACGTCTCCAGCGAAGCGCAGGAAGGTTCATGGGGACCCAATCATTAAGGCGTACCACACAAAAAACAATCAAAATTTTCACACTCTTCTGCCAAGCCACTGGTTGCAAACCTCGCGGTTCTCACCATTCTGAAGCAGGCACGGAGAACAACACTGGTCTCGGTAGACGGTGCACCGGCATGCGCGGCACATGACCGAGTCACCGCAATTAATAGTGCTGGATGTCTTCCGCGAAGGAAATAACTGCTGCACAAACAAACACTCACTTCCTAACTACCTCGTTACGAATTTGTTGACTGTTCGAAATCAGAGAGACTTCTCAGACATCAATAGTAAAAAACCTGAAGAGACCTCAAATCATCTGAAAGGAACTGACACATGAACGTCACTGACATCGATCAGCTGCCATTTCTTACAACGTCTCCAGCGAAGCGCAGGAAGGTTCATGGGGACCCAATCATTAAGGCGTACCACACAAACAACAATCAAAATTTTCACACTCTTCTGCCAAGCCACTGGTTGCAAACCTCGCGGTTCTCACCATTCTGAAGCAGGCACGGAGAACAACACTGGTCTCGGTAGACGGTGCACCGGCATGCGCGGCACATGACCGAGTCACCGCAATTAATAGTGCTGGATGTCTTCCGCGAAGGAAATAACTGCTGCACAAACAAACACTCACTTCCTAACTACCTCGTTACGAATTTGTTGACTGTTCGAAATCAGAGAGACTTCTCAGACATCAATAGTAAAAAACCTGAAGAGACCTCAAATCATCTGTTCACGGACACCATCTTTCACAACCACACATCAACACAGCCCTTACTGTAGCCTGGTACATGCGACCCTTGAGACCAAAGGATAAACCTTTTTGAAGCCACAAGTGACGCAAATTAGGAAACGTGATTCTGGTTTTTGATATTCATCCACTGACTTTATCAGACACATTTCCAACTGCGCTAATACAACTACCGAAGTACGTACACTTATCCACAAACGCTGATGAGTCTCCCTGAATTGTAGAAGCTATTTTTAGAGACTATACGTTCTGGAGCATGATTTCGCAATTTGAAAGTGCCACCCGAAGGAAGCACGAGGGCTGGGATACAGTCAGGTTGTCCAAGCCTAGACAGAGGGAGTCGAGAGGCAGAGGTCGAGATCGAACCACGACCCTTCTGTTGAATAAATTTGCGCTCTAACCACTTGAGCCATCTCACCCTCCATCACCAGAGGCGCACAACTGTGTATCCCTGAACCTCAAGTGACATGTGCATCAAGTTACAGGGCGGGCTGTTTTGTTGCATGACTGTGAGTCTTGGCCTGCTCGACCAGTGGAACTGAGACGTCTTTAGTTGTTTGAAAATCGTTATCTCAGAACCATAGCTCATGTGGTTTGGTGACGGCGAATCCCTAACAAGGCGATTGGAAAGCAAGTTTTCGGTTGTGCAACGAGGACTTCCTTTAAGGAATGTGTCTACCACGAGAAGCTGCGTTGGTTAGGTCATGTATTGTGTATGCCGAACCATTGTTTCCCGAACAGTGCTGTTTTCAGTGTCCAATTCAGAGTGACGGAAGCAAAGTGTGGCCAACTCTTAACCTGGCCGACGGGTATGAAGGAGATTACGAGACGTTTGGGTGCCGTTGTGAAGCTACTCGCCTCTCAGGATGTAAACCGCGTGATTCCAACTGTGCCTGGTTGTAGACGCTGCAAGATTTGGGTGTCAACCGATATCAGTGGCGTTCTTGTTGTCAGGTTCTATCCAGATTGCCTGAATGAGTGTCTTCGGGTGTAGATGCCTCGGAATGATTGCAGGAAGCTAGTACCAAGTCTCTTCCTCGCCCACCTTTATTATTTTCTTCACAACAAGGCTTTCAACTAAACCAAGGTTGTGCGGTAGAATCGGTGTTGAACACTGATGTCATGCTGCCAATGATGATGAGCCGGAACCTGAAGAGGGGCGAGAAGGGCAGTCCGTTCGATCCCATCACTTGCATCCTGCATCGTTGTTTCTGACAGACAGCATACGTCAATGCAAAGGGAAGCCGGGGTACGAGCAAGAGCCACCTGCTAACCTGCTTGCTTCTGTGTTCGAGTATTAAGGGCAGCTATGTAGACTGGAATTTTGGGTTTGAAAACAGACTTCGAAATGTTTAGGGTTGTTATCGAAGCCAGGCACACAGAAACTGTAGCTGAAAGTGACACATGGCGAACAAAATGGCCAGTTCTAGTACTGGAATCTGCAGAGAGAGTACTCAGATTGGGGTCGAGTAAAGTAGGAGAGAAAAATCGTGAGTGTGAGAAAGGAGGCGTCAGAAATAGCATGTTCTCGCTTACCCGCCCTGCTATATGCAGCAAGTGAATAGACCCGGCTGATGACACAATGCAATGGTCGGTGTGGTATGAGAGTATCGTTAGCTGTAAACGTCATGATTGTACGTATACTGGAATACTTCCAGGGTGCCCACACCTGGACAGGAGGATGACTAGGGTCCTCAAACAAAGCCTTTGACTCAAAAGTCTAACAACAAAGCAGCGGTGTTTGGCGGGAAATGCAAGTGCACTGCCATTTTTATGGAAAGAATCGCCGCACGTTCTAATCCCAAACCTATATGGCTAGGAGACTGTTTGTCAGATCTCTGGCCACTGACCAAACTAGTATGAGATACTTTGAGTGTCGCGCGGATACTCACCAGTATAGCTTAATGGGCCGTTGAGTACATAAACCGCCACATGGTAATGTCCAGTTTCTTCCGCAGTGGAGGCGTCAAGCATGTTCTCGCTTACCCGCCCTGCTATATGCAGCAAGTGAATAGACCCGGCTGATGACACAATGCAATGGTCGGTGTGGTATGAGAGTATCGTTAGCTGTAAACGTCATGATTGTACGTATACTGGAATACTTCCAGGGTGCCCACACCTGGACAGGAGGATGACTAGGGTCCTCAAACAAAGCCTTTGACTCAAAAGTCTAACAACAAAGCAGCGGTGTTTGGCGGGAAATGCAAGTGCACTGCCATTTTTATGGAAAGAATCGCCGCACGTTCTAATCCCAAACCTATATGGCTAGGAGACTGTTTGTCAGATCTCTGGCCACTGACCAAACTAGTATGAGATACTTTGAGTGTCGCGCGGATACTCACCAGTATAGCTTAATGGGCCGTTGAGTACATAAACCGCCACATGGTAATGTCCAGTTTCTTCCGCAGTAGTTAAGTTCGTCCTTTGAACGCCATCGGTGTCATAAGCTCTCGCTAGCGCTACTTCAAGACGATGTTAGATTCTGCCTTAACTGGATTGATTGGACTTAGCATAACGCGGCTACTCACTTTGGCTATCCTGCGACGACCAACCCCGGCACACTGGACCTGACTGCATGAGTA